CTTTTAACAACAACATATCGCTGCAATAACGGTATATTACCAACCATGATACATTACCGACCATGGTACATTACCGACCATGGTACGTTACCGACCATGGTACATTACCGACCATGGTATTTTATTGACCATAGTACATTACCGACGATGGTAAATTACCGACCATGGTACATTACCGACCATGGTATATTACCGACCATGGTATATGTTCAAGGCTGGTAACTTACCGACTACTGTAACAAAGTAAAACTGAAAAAGAAAAGAAAACTCGATACAATAAGTACTTAAACATCTAAGTCCACGGATGTGACACTTGCGCTGCCGTTGATTCGCGCGCTGACGCTTCGGGCGCTGCGGAAAGCCCACTTGCTCTTCCGCTACCGGGAGTGGTGGTGGGACCCCAGTGAAGTGCTCTACCATTTTTATCATTGTCTTGGCCAGCATCTTCGCCGTTTCTAGTGGGGACAGGCCGTCGGGAAGTTGCTGCGCCGCCGCAAGGATCATACCCTTTGCCGTTACGCTTGACCTTTCGGGGGGGACCGCCGTGCACTCCGGCTTCTGCAAAATGTGATACCGTTTTTCAGGTATGATTGCCCTTTCCTTCTGCAATTCCGGACGGCGAACCGGAAGGAGTCCTGGACCAGACGAGCGGGTCGAGGCCGCCCCAAGGGAGGCCTGGTGCTCGCGAAACACCGCGCGCAGTGTGGGGGGGGGGGCAGAAGAGCGCTCCCGACGGGGGGAGGTCTGAGTGCCCTCTGTGACTCCCGGTGGCTTAAAGGCCTCTGTCCCGTACTTCACCTGCAGCCGCAGGTGTTGTACCTCCTTCTCCAAGTTCTCAAGGCATTGGAACTCCTTTTCAAAAGGACAGTGTCTTTTGACTTCCTTCTCCAGCGTGCTGACCTGCAGCTTGAGTTGCTGCTCGTGCATTTTAACATATGCACCGTTGTCTCGGTTAGACAGGGTCAGCATCGTTGTCTTAGCCCGGAGGATTCTGTCGCGCATGCGGCCACTCAATGCTCCCTGCATTGAGTTGGCCGACTTATTGCGCATCTCTTTTATCTCCTTAATCCACTCAAGAAGATCAGTGTAGATCGCCGTTGCAGGCTGCTGGTCGTAATCCTGCATTGATTTGGCGACCTCGTGCCTTGCGTTGGTTCATCGCCCCAGCATACTTCGATTGAGCAACCGGCGGGATTAGCGGGGCGCTAAGCTCGTCGTCGTCCGTTGTTGTTGTGGACACGAGGCGAGGGGCCTTCTTGCGCTTACGCGACGGCCTGGTTGCTGCAGCGGCTGCAGTGGTTTTCCCCGATTTCGTCGATTTCGTCGATTTCGTCGGGACCTTCTTGACTGCCTTAGCCGCGGTCTCCTTTTTTCCCGCCAGAGGACACGAGGGTCTAGCCCTAGGCGGTTCTGCCGCCAGCAACTTTGTAGACGGGTCATACCGCGTCCTAGCCGGCCAAAATCTGAATTCGGATTGTGTCGACTTCGTATTCTGGGGTGTCGACTTAACGGGGCCATCCGATACCCCGCTTTCGCTGATATCCATGTTAGACGGCTCAAAATTGTCATCACTCGACGAGTCCATACTAAATTCCGACTCCAGATCACGCCTGGGGGTCGTCTCCAGGTCGTCCAGAGTTCCCGTCGTGTGAGACGCTACCTCAACATCAGGTTTCCAGCCCATCCTTTCGTCGTGGGCGTCCAGTATTTCGCGCGAGGACACATCCCCGGCGGGAAACGGCTGCTGCACAGGGGTGATACTCTATTGACCACAGTACGATTCGACACCGCTTGATTCGACACAGATTTATTTGACACCAAATTATTCGACACCAGATTATTCGACACCGTACGATTCGACACGAAATTATTCGACACCGTACGATTCGACACCAGAT